CCCCAGACATTTCAAATAGGAGACCAAGATATCAACACCACTCTGATCAGCTGCTGCTTTTCCTAGTTGTTTGCAGCAGAAGAATGGCACTCATTTTTCTGGAGTCAAAAAATGAATGAAAGTGAAGTGCTGACATTTTCTGAGAAATTGCCTTGAGTGTAACAAAGAGTGGCCTTGAGTATAATAAGGTTGAAAACCACTGGCTGAGGGTTTTCTGATGATCACAGAAGACAGTGTCTGCAGAAAAGGAGGCAGGTTCTGAGGAAAAAGTTAATTTGGTCAAATATTAACCATTTTCCATTGTTTAAAATGTTTAGTGAGAAAACTTTGGACCAGCTCATTAGCAAGGCTTGGACACCCAGCCACTGAAATCAGCCATATCTAAAGTGTTGCCATTTGGCTTCAGAAGAACTGATGCATCTAAACCAGGGATGTCCAACCTTTTTGAATGTGGGGCTGGATCATGAACTTTTTATCACCCAGTGGGCCGGTGAGCCATATTCAAACACCCTCTGTCCTGGGCCAGAGAGACCCTGCCTGTGTAGCCCTACTGCACCTGCCTGTTACTGCAAGGTTCATGGTAGCTGCTGGTGGGCAGGGGCAGGAGGGACCCATTCTGCATCCAGCCAGCTACTGCCCCAGCGACTGAAGGGGAGAAGTAAATAGCTCCACATCTCCATCCCCCGAGCAGCGCAGCCCCATGAGCCGGCGCTGCCTATGGAGGGCTGGAGCAAGGCCCCTCACCCACCTGCCAGCACGGCCCCACTCACCATGGTGCCCAGCTGCCTGCGCACACAGCCCCGGTGGCCTCAGCGCTGTGAGCCCGGAGCACGGTGTCCGGCAGACACCAACTCCCGCTGCCTTGCCCCGCAGAGGTCATGCCAGGACCCTGCCTGCAGAGGCCCCCCCATGCTGGCTTCCCACGTGCTGCTGGGGACGGGAGGAGGCTGGAGCGAAAGTGGCAGTGGAACCATGCGCCACTCGGGACTGACTGGTGCAGGCTCATCCCGTCCTGAGCAGCACACAGCTCCACCACTGCTTCTGCTGCCCAGTGCAGACCCAGCCAGGCTCCTCCCGTCCCCAGCAGCATGTGGGAAGCCAGCTTCAGCCACATGCTGCTCCAGATGAGATGGGCCCGGCCGGGTCAGCAGTGGCCAGGAAAAGCGGCATGCAGCTGAAACTGGCTTCCCATGTGCTGCTGGGGATGGGAGGAGCCCAGCCGGGTCTGCACGGGACGGGACAAGCCTGGCCGAAGCGACAGGGGCTCAGCTGCATTTTCCCCCTGCCTGCACCGGTCATTCCCGAGCAGCACACGGCTCCATCACCGCTTCTGCTGGACAAGCCTGATCTAACATGACTATTCATGCCTGAAAATGTTGGATCTCAGTAACAGAGACAAGAAGTGGTTATTTTGTAGCAGAGGAAGTAATAATAATGCTAAGAAAATACCCAGCTTTTTCATTGCAGTCTCCCTCAGCAAATACCTGAGCAGTGTCAGTAATGTTGTCCCCATTTGACAGAAGAAGCAAATGAGGCATAGGGCAGTGGAGTACTTGCCCAAAGTCACCCAGCAGGTCAGTGGCAGAGCTGGTGATACAGCCCAGGTATCTTCTGCATGCAACTCCAGGCATCCTTGGCTCAGCCCCTGCAGACAGCTTGCCAGTGAGCCCTTTTGAGAAACTGGCCTCATTTAGGGGCATAAATGGGAGCTGGTCTCATCTTTAAAACTAGTTCTGTGTCCTCTCCAAAGGCAAGGCCCCTGTTTCTGGGGAGCACCAAACTAGAAGAGCAGATCTCAGTGTTGGCCCAAAGAATTTCTCTTCTGATCAACCAGTTCCTGGCTCCTGAGTTTTTGATCTGATAGCCGCGAAGGCTGGCAGGGCCCTCTGAAAGTGTCTGCATGAGCTGATCAGATTTTAGGAAGGAATGTATTACATTCATTGTAAAACAGCTGCCTTTTCCCCCACAAAATTTGTCAATGTGTTGTTTTTCACTTTTTAACTTTTTCAATTTAAGTAAATGAGAGAACCTGGTGGGCTTTCATGCTACATGAAATGAAAATAACTTCGCACCATGAGTTTGCAACAGTTCCATCTGTTGTCATAAGTCAAAGCTGATGGGCCCATGGGGCTGGCCTGGTTTGGACCTTCCAGCTCCTGAGGTCTGCTGCACACAAGGAAGTGGTGTCTGCATCGCATCCAGTCCCTTCTGACTCCGTGGTGGGAATAACCAAATGCCTGCTTATATCTGGGTTGCCTGGTGCCAGCGTTTGTCCAGAGTCTGGAGCAAGGCTGATATTAGCATCTCTGAAGCTGTCCCCAGACACTGTAGACACCCCGCCACCACACCCAGCACTCAGACCAGCAGCTGGACTTAATGAGGAGCTGGTGCTAGTAGCAGCCCCAGGGCAAAGAGAGGAAGCGGGGGAGGCGGGGTTTGAAGAAGTTGTAAGCAGCTGGATACATGTTCCCATGCCAGACATGACATGCATCTCTCATGATCTGGTGGGTGCCTCCAAGTGCAATGATTTTCTGTTTTGTCTTTGTGGCAGATTCCAGCCTAAAGTACATTAAGGAGAAATGGGTCCCAATTGCAGTTAGCCTGACCATCACAATTTTGCTCATTATCATCATTGCATTGGTGGGTGAGTAAAGAGCTGTTACTGTCCTGTTCTGCAGGGCAAATTTACCATTCTGCCTTCCTGATCCAGCTGCCATGCCCTGATCTACCCCTGCCTTTCCCACTTATTTCTCTGTTGCATGCTTCCATGGGAAGAACCTTTTCCCCATCTCTCCTTTCCCAGGGTCTTTCCAAACACTTTCCCATTCTCTGTTCAAAAGGAGAAGGGGTGCTTGGATTTCCAATATTCACAGTCAACGCAGATGGGTAAGTACTACGCTTTCAACTGCAGATCACAATGAGAGAAGGGAATTCCCACTTTGTCCCCTTCTGAGAAGGGTTGCCAGCAGTAAAACATGCTTCCAGGAAAGCAAAACTAAAGTAGTGTATCTAGCAAAGTCTAAAGAATGCCTTTCATGGCCTGGAATTGCTTGAATCTGGATAGAAAGCCTGCCATGGTGTGGTGGCTCAGGACATGTGAGATGGGCTGTGCGTACCCTGCCCCAGGCAGGGGAACCAAGGTCTCCTTCGAGGCTTCTTCATAAGAGGAAACACGCACTGTTGGCTAAGACTTCAGGGGGTGGGTGGCCCCAGCTGTTGGGGCTACAGGGAAGGGGCTAGCTGCTTGATCTTCACAGGCCAAGGCAGTGTTCCTGCTAGGGGAGAAGGCCATTTTTTATAGGAGGAGACAAACTGTGTGGCTTAGGGCTGAACTGGGTGGGGATTGGGAGTCATGCTGTTTCTTAGTGACTGTTAGGCCTTCCTAAAAAATAGAAACACAATCACAGGATTGGCAAGGGACTCCAGGGTCATCTGGTCCAGCCCCCTGCCCGAATGCAGGAGCACTGCTCTTAAATCATCTCTGTTCAATGCTTGTCCAGCCTCTTGCTGAAACCCTGCAAGGAAGGAGATTCCTCAGCTTCCCTGGGCAGTCGGTTGCACTGCCTCACTGACCTAACAGTAAGGAAGGTTTTCCTGAGATTGAATCTACATCTGATTTCCAATACCTTGAAGTGATTGCTTTGTATACTGCCCTCCGTAGCAAAAGAGAAGAGTTGTTCTCTCCCTCAGGGCAGCCCTTCAGATATGTCGTATCTTCTTTTAGTTTTCTTTTCCTGAGCATGGAATATGTCCTGTTCTCTCAACCTTTGCTCATCCAGCTTGCCTTGAACTCCGTGGTCATTTTTGTTGCTCACCTCTGGAGCTTTCCTCTATCTTCTTTACATTCTTCTTAAAATGTGGAGCCTAGAACTGCACACAGCACTCTAGATGAGGTCTAACCAGCACTGAGCAGAGGGGTGCAGTTTCCTCCTGCATCTAACACCCAGTACCCCTGTTCTTGCAACCCCAACTGTATCTGCTTCTTTTGCAGCTGCATCTCATTTCTGACTCCATGGAGTCTGTGATCCACCATAATCCCTAGATCCTTCCCAGCAAGGCTATCACGTGGACAGTTGGTTCCCATTCTGCATTTGACCTTTTGCCATCCTTCCCTAGATGTAGCATTTTACATTTCTCTGCACTGAACTTCATCAAGCTGTCTCTAGCCCAGCTTTCCAGCCTCTCAAGGCCCTTCTGAATTCTGTTCTTTTCCTCCAAAGTCCTTTTTGGTTTGGTTCCATCTGCAGACCCTGCTGGGGACCTCTCTATTCCAAATTATTAGCCTGATCAGTAACATCTGATCCAGGACAGATCCCTATAGAACCCTGCTCTAAACTTCCTGCCATTGTAACGTCAGTCCTTTATAGTGACTTTTTGCTTGTTCCTATTCCTCAAAAGCCTTACTGAAGTCTGAGCACACTGTATCCACTGCATTCCCTTCATCCACCCACTAATTACTTTGTTGAAGAAGATCAAATTATAGTAGTATCATAGTAGCTAGGGTCAGGAGGGACCTGAACAGACCATCTAGCCTGATCCCCTGCCACAGGCAGGAATGAATGCTGGGTTCACAAGACCCCAGACAGGTGATCGTCCAACCTCCTCTTGAATTTGCCCAAGGTAGGGGCAAGGACCTCTTCCCTGGGAAGTTGGTTCCAGATTTTGGCCACCCAAACTGTAAAATATTGCCTTCTGATCTCTAACCTAAACCTATTTTCCATCAGCTTATGACCATTGCTCCTCGTCACCCCCGGTGGTGCTGGGGACAAAAGGGCTCTTCCTATATGCTGTTGATCTCTCCTGATGAGCTTGTAGGCAGCCACCAGGTCCCCCCTCAGCCTCCTCTTGCTGAGGCTGAACAGGTTCAGGTCCTTCAGTCTCTCCTCGTAGGGCCTGTCCTGCTGCCCTCTCACCAAGC